AGTGCCACCTGCTAGTCAACCTCACTTCTTCCTTCAGAGGTTCTCCTCCCCACTGTAAGGACAGCAAGTGACACTCAAAGAAGGGAAGTCATTTACCAAGGCCAGTGTCACCAGAGGGAGGGCTGGCTCATGCTGGGCTTTAGTGCTTTCCATGGGTTGTGACCTCAGGTCAGGGCTCCTTCCTGGACCCCACCTTGTTGCTCTGAGTCAACAAGAAGGAGCAGAAATGGTTTGAGATGAGCTGGGTTTGGGGGATCTCCCTCTCCCTGCCTCACACTGACCACTCCCACCCACATCCCCTTCCAGAACCATCAGGGTGCCACCTCCAGTCCTTTCCTGAAGGCTTGGCCTCCATGTCTGTACCTGAGGGCTCCAGTCCACCCTCTACAGCTGGCCTGCCCAGCTCAAGGCTTTGGGGTGCAGGATGCTGCCTGCAGTAGCAGCCCAGGGGGAGCAGGTCTTGGGCCCCCGAGGCTTTCAGGAACAGACCAGGAAATAGAGTGAACCCAGCAGGAAGCTTGGGGTCACTGTCAGGGCCCGGGTCTGACATCCATGAATCCTGGAATCCAAGGGCAGGAGTGTGTCAGTCCCTGGTCCCAGAGGAGGAAACCAAGGCTTCTTCCACCTTTGCCTCAGCTTCTCTGTGCACTCTTGGCCAGGCCCTGACCCTCTTTGGGCCTCAAACCCTCACTCTAAAGGGAAAAATCCAAGTAAGTGATGTGACATGTGAGGTGGGTGGAGGTTCTCACCTGGGCTGGACACCTTCCCCCACCTCCCCCTGCATCCTCTCACCTCCTGACAGACACCCCTGTAATGTACAGTCCAAGGTTTGTGCAAAGAGGACATCTTTCATTTGGGTCTCTCTCAACGCCCCTTCATTCAAATTAAGAGTCATGTCCTAGGTCAGTGCTTTCTCAGATCCTTGCTCAAGGCCAAGGGTATAGCAGTGGCCCTGCAGAGACATGAAGCCAAATCCTCTGGCCCTGAGGCCACTCACCATTTGGCCCTACCCTGCTGAGACCCACCATCTCCTGACCTCAGGCTCTGAAAAATGGTGTGGGCTCAGCCAAGCCCAATCGGGCAGCACAGGGACAGCCAAGGAGAGGCGGGCTGGGAAGATGTCCAGGGTCAAGGAGTGCCAGTGCCTGCCAGTGCCTGAGCTGTTCCCCTACAACACTTGCTGTACAACCCTGGACATGCACCTGAACCCCTCTAGGCTTTGGAGGAGAGCAGTTGTCCCAACAGCACTTTGAAGGAAGCAGAGAATTCACACCCTTTAGGGCTCAGGGCAGCTCTGCATCTCCCTGGGGGTTTGCAGTGATGCAGCTGGAGGAAGGGCTTGGCACAGGCTGGGCCATCTTGGAGCTCACTACACCTGGTGGCTCTGCATGGTGTCCGTCCAAGTCAGAGAGAGTCATTCTGTGCCGAACTCAGGCCTCTGACCTCTTTGCCCTGAAGGATGATGCCGTCCTCTATCTCGTGGGGCCTCCTGCTGCTGGCCAGCCTCAGCTGCCTGGCCACTGGCTGCCTGATTGAGGATTCTGAGGAGTCAGATGCACCCAAGCATGACCAGGAGAACTCAGCCTCCCACAGGATCGCCCCGAACCTGGCGGAG